TACATGGAAGAAGGTGAAGGAAGTGGGAACTGGAACACAGATGACGATGGAGGAGTTTGAGATGTGTGTTGGACATTCTCCCATTGTTCAGGAGCTTATGAGAAGACAGAACGTTGAGGATTCTGATAAGAACACGTCTAAGGAAAACGAAGACAGTGGGAATAGTAATAAGGATAATGCATCGAAGTCTAAGAAGAAAGGAAGTTGGTTTAAGAGTATTAAGAGTGTTGCAAGTAGCATGACTGGTCATAGCAAAGAGAGACGAAGCAGCGATGATAGAGATACATCGTCAGAGAGAGGTGGTCGGAGGTCGAGCTCTGCTACTGATGATTCTCAGGAATCTTCTTTTCACGGGCCGGAAAGAGTTAGGGTTAGACAGTATGGGAAATCATCTAAAGAGCTCACGGCATTGTACAAGACGCAGGAGATTCAAGCGCATAATGGTTCTATTTGGAGCATTAAGTTTAGTTTGGATGGTAAATATCTTGCTAGTGCTGGTGAGGATTGCATCGTTCATATCTGGCAAGTCGTCGAGGCTGAGAAGAAGGGAGAGTTGCTACTTGATAGACCGGAACTGTTGCTTTTGGCTAATAATGGGTCTCCAGAACCAACTACTATGTCACCAAGGAGAAGAGGGAGAACTTCTATAAGTAGAAAGTCATTGAGTTTAGAGAACATATTTGTTCCAGATTCTCTTTTCGGGCTTTCGGAAAAGCCCTTTTGTTCCTTTCAGGGACATGTGGATGATGTACTTGACCTTGCTTGGTCCAAGTCTCAGGTTAGTTAGTCACTTTATTTTCTTGGTACTGTTTGGAAGAAATGACTGGTAGAGAAGATTTATAAGTAAGAAAGCTTTCTATTACTTGTTTCCTCAGTATTTGCTTTCTTCATCAATGGATAAAACAGTTCGTTTGTGGAACTTGTCCAGCCAGACTTGCTTGAAAGTATTTTCGCACAGTGATTACGGTCAGTAGGTTCTGCACCAGCTGCTTTTAATTTTTCCGTCTTTTGGTACTTCAAATTTACAATGTGTGTTTTGATTATTGATTGGAACAGTGACTAGCATCCAATTTAATCCGGTCGATGATAGATACTTTATCAGCGGATCCTTAGATGCAAAAGTTCGCGTCTGGAGCATTCCAGATCGTCAAGTAGTTGACTGGTATGATCTTCATGAGATGGTCACTTCTGCTTGCTACACTCCAGATGGTCAGGTACACTAAATCTGTCAAGTTATTTAAAGTCAATTGTTTCCGCATCTCATGAAGCATCTTTAAAGAGTTTCCTTAACTTTCTAAAGAATTTCTGTTTAAACTTGAAGGGTGCGTTGGTTGGTTCATACAAAGGTAGCTGTCGCATGTATAGTGCATCAGGTAATGATGAAGTTCTTGTTGGGATTTTATATTGTTTTTTTTTCTGCTGTTTGTTATGCTTTAACACTAACTGATATTGACTTTGTTAGATAACAAGCTGCCACAGAGAAGCCTGATACATTTACAGAACAAGAAGAAGAAAGCTC